ATAAAAATAAAAGCTAAAACTCAAAACTGGTAGTAGAATTTAAAAGGAATATTTCTACCTCTGACCAAAAAGAGAATTCATGTTTTCTACAGAACAGCTAATAGGCGTCATATTTTCTATTTTATAGTTCAAACTTCTATTTTTTATTTTACTAATTGGCAAATAAATTATCTCTCTCATCTCAATTATACCCAATAACATAGAGCAATTTTGTTTTTCTATTTTTCAGTTTCGATCCATTTTTTAAATTTGCTTGCAATTTTCTATTTTGGTTTTAGTTTTAAGACTACCTACTTTCTAGTACGCACATGAAGAAACGTTAATACATATAGTTATGTAAAGTTTGAATCTCTAATATATGCCTTAAGAATTTTGTTATATGAATAGGCTGTCTTAGCAGCATTCATTATTCTATATATATAGAAATGTAAATTGTGATCTAAGTTACATAGAGACCTGTCAAAATGGGCATGGCTCATTGGGTTTGTCCTTTTTTTAGTGAAAATGGATGGCGGTATGAAAGTTCATACTCATATTAAAATCAAGTCTAGATGGGCTAATCCATATGATCAGTGTGCTATCCTGGGTTGCTGTAGACCAACCTTATGGGCCAAAATAAAAAAATAAATTAATAACTTTAGTTAATTTAATAATTTTATATATTTAACTATATAAAATTAATAATTTAATATTACTTATTTTATATATTTCAAAATCTTTAATCTTTGTTTGTCAAATTAATAATTTTAATTAAGATTAAAACTCATTATCTCTTTTTCTTTTATGATAATGAATTGCTATCCAAATAAGATTCAAATGTTTTGCTTAAAGATAAGGATTGAAGATTACATAAATGAATCTTGAAGTTTTTATTTATTTAATTATGTACTTATATTGATGAGATTGTAGTTTGTGTTAAGGTTGAAATTTTATTTATATTTGATGTAATTTATTGTAATTTATTTATTTGTAATATGTTTTTACTATTTAATTTATAGATTAAATCATGAAATAATTTTATTGATAAAGAGTTTGTTATGTAATATTGTGAAAATAAATTTATTCTTTTTTTAAAAAAAAGGTGGGCTGCCTAGCTTGTTCGGTTGACAAAAGGTTGGCTAGGTTAGGGTTTTGACAACCCTTATAAAAAATGGGCTGGTTCGGCTCAGTTTATATTTTCTCGACCCACAATATTTTGCATCGGGTCAACGGATATTGACATCTCTAATTACATCAACTAGGTTCCATTTAGTTGATAATTTTTTTTTATTTTTTGTTTTTTGTATAATTTTTATAAAGTAAAATAAAAAGGTGAAACTAATATTATGATTGATTTAAAATGGACAAATAATTAAAATGTAAGATCAATTATAACATAATTAATCATATAAAAATAGAATCATGGATTTTGTCAACTAAAACGATTACATGTTTTGCTTATAATTCTTCAAAAATTTGATTTGCTTTACGAAATGCACTTTTTTTATTTTTTATTTTTGCTTTGAAAAGCAAAAAGTAAGAAGCAAAAATACCAACAAAATGAAACTTTAATAAATTCCCTAACCCGAATATAAATCTAGGATTTGGAATGTAATTACAATGTTATATATATATATATATATATATATATATTTCATTTTAAGATGATTCAAAATTACTTTATCTTTCCTTTCATGAACATTTAAAGTTATTGCTTTTTCTATATTTCAAAATTATTTGCATATTTACTTTACACTTTTGGTATTAAAAATCATAGAACACCACTTTCACAAAAAGATTGTAAAATTAATATAATATACACTAGAATAAAAGAAATTCTTAATCTCAAACCAAATAAGGAGAAATAATTTGAAATGGAGGGAGTATGCCGATATGCTAGTTGTTTTTTTTGTACTTTTTATATTGACCCATCAAAATTATATAAAAGACTAAAGAATTAAGTAGAGTTGTTTCTGGTTCGAGTTTGGGATGAGCCTTTTGAGTTTCTTTCTTTTTTAAAGCCAAGTTTGAACTCAATCGAACCCTTTCATTTAATTATTATTGATTATTAAAATAATAAAATATTATTTTTATATTAATATTTCAATATTTAAAAATATATTTTAAAATTAAAAATTTTATAAAATCATAACATTATTAATAAAATAAGTTAATCGAGTCTGGACTAGCCATGCTTGGAACTATAAACTATGGCCAAACTAACCCGACTCATGGGCGATTTTACGCTGATAATCCTATCCTTGAACACTTTTAGAATTGAGTCAAATGAGTAAATTGCATATCTACTTATATGGTAAATTTGGTTCCAAGTTTCAATTTTATTTCTGTAAAAGTTTACTTGTACTATGATGTCCATACGTTATTTATGTTTATATTATCGTTATTTCTTATAATAAATAATAAAATGAAAATATTTACAAATCTTAATTAAAGTTTCAAGTAGCTGTTTTTTTTGTTATTAGTATTTGTTTCTGAAAAGGGTATTTAAAGGTGAAAGTAGGAGTAACAAATAAAAAGTAAAAACATACTCTCCTTCTTCAAATTGAATGTCCAGATTTTTTACATTTCATATTACTTTTTTATATTTTTTTAGTGCTTGATGTTAAAATCTATAATTTATTGGTGTTATAATTTTTTAAAAAAACTATAAAGACACCAAAGTAAAAACATTTTTAAAATCTTGGTATTAAGTTACAAATGGACATTCAATTTGGAATAGAGAAAATATATGATAAAAATGAGTAAAGGTTCCAATAAAAAATAAAAAATATATAATATGTTTTTTTTAACCAATAAGAAAGGAAACTCTAATAACGCCAAAGCCATACATACTCCAAAAGCATGAGATAAAGTGTTTATTTTGGAAAGTTTAGGCCTTAGGCGAGTGAAGTTAAAGGCGAGTTCCGTAATTGGAGAGCTGGGCTCGGGAATTGTTGCCTTTTTTCACTCGCCTTCTCCACTCGCTTCCTGTCTCTTCTTAATTAGCTCCGCGGCTTGGCGCGTTGAACCTTCCAATTTCCCTCTCTTCTTTTTGTGTTTTGTTTCTTTTTTTCCCATAATGTGACAGTGTCACTTGCACACATCACGCGTGTGGCCGTGTTCTACATGTCTGGCGCGTGCTCATTATCTTTTATTTTACTACCACCACGTCCTTCTACTAAACAAAAGCAGAAACAACCGACTCAATCATAAAATAGTTTGATTTAAAATATTCCTTCTTGAAATCTCAAAAAAATAAATATACAAATGAAAACAAAATTAAAAAGAAATCAAATTTATGTCCTGTCCAATACTTTAATGATTCTAATTTAAAATTATATATTTTAATTTTAAATTTTAATGTTAAAAATGAATACAATTTTTTTTAGATTGAAAGTGTGAATACGTGACACAATATCTATGTAATGAGTAAAAATATTTTATTACAGATTTTGTGTAGTAAAATTTGTAAAAAATTTCTTCTACAAAAATGAAAAAACATGAATTCAAATTTTTCTTTTTAAAAAAATCGCTTTCCATAAAGAAAAAAAATTAAGAAATTAGTAGGACAAGGTCATGTGTGCTACATCTTGGAGTAAAGAGAATTCTTATGGTATCATCCCTTCCATCCTTGTTTAAACGTAATTGAGCATTACCTCTTAGCTTAGATTTTCATTTCCTTTCGTACTTAGATTTTTATAGCAGCAATATTTGGAGGTTTCCACATTATAACAACTAAATGTTGTAATCTCTTGAGATCTTTTTACTATCAAATTCTAAGAAAAATTATTATTTAAGGAAATTAAACATTTATTATTATTTGTTAAAATAATTATATAATTGATCTAATTAAAGTTATAATAACATACTGTTAATTAGTTAAATCACAAAACACAATTTGAGTTCCTTAACAGTATTATATTATTAACTGCAACTAAATAATTTATACAATTATCTTAATATTATTTAGGATTCTACTACAATACCTTAATTCCGCTTTGCAATGTCAAACTCGTTGAGCTCGAGCTAAAACATTGTTTAATTGGGTAAATTGGTCAAAACAACAAGGCTTTTATTGTCAATAAAGAAATGAATTAAGAATAAAAGAATCGTAGAGGTCAAAGCATATATATATATATATATATATATTTGGCTACATGGGTCAAATTAATTTAAACATACCCAAGAAAACAGTTGAAATTTTTTGTTTTATATATAATTTTCAACTACAAAAATGAAAAAAAAGTCCTAAAACTTCCAACTTGAAAATCCTAATCCATCCATTACAAAATTTATACTCAAAATTTTCAAATTAAAATATTAAATTCGAACCATTAAATATCTTTTGGTGGTAATATGTTTTACTGCATTTGTCCCAAATTAAATCTACATATACACATATATACACACAATTGACTTGGCACAAAAAGTTTTGAAAAATTTGTTTTTAGCATATTTTATTTTTCAAATGTTCAATGACTTTTATGCGGAAAAAGCAAAAAAATTAAAAAAAATATATAAATGAAATAGAGAAAAAGTAGTAATCTTTAATGTTTAAAATAGACAAATTAAAAAAAAAAGAAAGAACATTTAGACCTGATAGGCCTCGACCACATTTCGAAGCAAGACAGAGTTCCGGTATAAGTCCCACAAAAATTGTGTAAGTATTTGTACCCTAAAGAACATTACTTTATACTACCTAGGAATAGAATAGATGTATAGAATCTAGCAGGACAGCTTATGCATTTACAAGTTCAGACATGTCTCACCAAACAATCTAAGGTGTGGTTCATGTGAAATCCATAGCTATGATGCAAGTTTTATTTACTCCACTTAAGCGAACATGCTCTTCGATATCAGCCCAAGAATTGTTCAACATCTCATCCGGTAAGAAAGCAAGTACAGAGTACATCTCTGACAAAGCGTACAAGAAGTGAAAGACGTACATATCACTTTGCAATAATTTCGCGATGTGTATGTGCGTGTGTATGTGTGTGTGTGTATGACCATGTGCGGCAAAGTTATAACTGAAATTCAATTTAACCTATTCAGACTGTAACAATCACAGATACAATAGTACAACAGAATTTACAAGAGACATAAGCACCAACCTGAATTTGTCCCATCTCTCAACTATATCCCCTGTAGATGGTGATGATAATATCCTAATCTATCTTATCTTACAGACACCAAAAGAGAAGATTACTCCTAATAATGACAATCTGGCAATGCATCATACTTTCCGTTCTTTACATCCAAGTCAGCTTCAAAACAATCTTCCCTCCTATCAACATTTAATTATATTCTTTCACCCTCACCTACAAAGAGATTCTTCTTCAACTCATAAATCATCAAATAAGAAAAGAAAAAAAAAATGAATGAAACATTGAGCACTACTGTCATTGTGAGAAAAAGTACCATCATGCATGTCTTGATGCATCATCATGCAACTGTGCAGCTCTCACGTTGGGGTCATCCTGTCAGGGGAAGACAAAACATGTAAGAAAGTCCTGAACATAAAACTAACTTGACTTCACCATGTTGTTATAGCAACATATTTGGAAAACTGACCCGGATGTAAAAACCAGGTGTTCGAAAGAAATCCATCTGTCCCTGTATAAATAAAACAGAATCAAGGCTATGTCATCATTTCAATGCAGTAATGCAAAGAATTACCAAAGTGTCAAGTGATACTATACCATCCCAGGCATGGTTTGCTGAGGGCCATAGTATCCATCATGGCTTGCTGCTATGGTGTTCAACTGTCCCTATGAATGCAAAAGCCCACATTGCAAAATTAGTTTCCTATACGGAGCTCTCTTATTCAATCATTATGATTACAAAATAAAAGACATACCAGCCCCTGAATTGTCTGTTGATTCCCATAATAATTATCACGTGGTGCCATTAAATTAAGCTGCACCTGCAAAAAGCATAAATCATGAAATCGCATATAACTGACATAAAAGATAAATGAAATCAATTGTAACAATTCTCACCATTCCTTGTACACTTGGTTGCGCACCAAAATAACCATCTAGGGCTACTGATCTTGAGCTTAATTTATCCTACGAAATAAAATTCCAGTATCATAGTCTGATCAACTTTATTACAAATCCATGAGAAAATTTCATCAATTTTAGAAGCTAAAATTATCTTATAGTTATTCTCTATTTTTATGCAGGCATTGTAATTCATTAAAACATCTTTCACAAGATTGCTAATTTATAAAACAGGACTAACCATTTGTTGCAAGCCATCTGTTACCGGAACAGTCATTACCTCCTGTTCAGAGTTTCCCTGCAAAAATAGCACACACACAAAATACAAAAACAAAAACAAAACAAAACTCCCATTAAGTACTGGATATAGAATCTGCAAAAATATATCCACATGCCAATAGCTATAATAGTTAACCTTTCTTTTTTTGGTTGGATTCTTTTTCTTGTTTGTCTTGCTCGTGCTTCTGCTTTGATTATCTTCTTCAATACAGATCATACCCTGGGTGGGAGATGTGACAGCTTCCGCAAGGCTCTTGTTAGAAGTGTTTGCACTCAAACAGTTCCCAAAAGCTTCTTCTAGGCTTCGGAACGCAATATAGTAGCTCTCTTGGGACAGTGAACCCTCCTCAATCAACTTCATTGCCCGTTGAAATAGATCATTGTATCGCTGCACCCTAGATTGCACCTGCTCAGATTCATCTCCCATGAAATGCCTGCTCTTTGCCTCTTTTGTCCATCGTTTCAAAATATATTGAGATGGGATTGTTGAGTGGCCATTTATTTGGAGAACAACCATAGCATGCCTGCAGAGATAGCCTTTGTATTCGTATAATCGGCATATACAAGAAACTTCAGACTTCATCTCATTCAATGTAACAACGAAATCCTGATTCTTCTCAAGATCTTGAACTCTGAAACTGCTGCTTGTTGCATCATGATTTTCTGGCTTGGGATGACAAGCAATTGCACCCACAACCTCAACTTGAAACTTCTTGAATACTGTGTGTGTGTACAACCCTGCAACACTCTTCTCAAAAGGTGATGGAGATTTTAGTGTAGGCACTTTGCTCCATGAATCAAAATTTGCTTTGGCTTCCTCTTCATACCTATCTTGTAAAATTGCTTCATACTGTTTCAAAAACTCTTGCACAGTGGTCTTCTTATGTACATACTTGTCAAAGAATGAGTTCACACTCTCAGATCTCTGAACCATAGACATCCCAGCCAACAAAACATCCATTATATAGGTTGGCACCCACTTTCTGCGGTCTTCATATAATGACTTCATCCATTCATCATCTTTGAGTCCAAATCTATCAAGAATTTTCCACCACCTTTTAGCAAACTCCTCTTCAGTCCATGACCTGTAGATGCATTTCTCAAATTTTGCCATAAAGTTCCCATGCTGTTTGATTACATGACCAAGATTCTCAGAAACCTTCCCGAGTACATGCCATAGAAAGAAGCAATGATAAGTATTTGGAAAGATTTCTGCAACAACAGATTTCACAATTCTGTCTTGGTCAGTGATGATGACTCTAGGAGATTGTCCACCCATTGCTTTCAGCCATGTCTGCATTAGCCAAGAAAATGTTGCTGCACTCTCATCTGATACCAATGCACATCCAAGTGGCATGAACTGGTAATGGTGGTTCACTCCAATAAACAGCGCAAGAGGCATTTTATATTTGTTTCTAACATAAGCAGTATCAAAAGACACAACATCACAGAAATAACTATAATCATGCCTACTCTTTGCATCAACCCAAAACAAACTTTTCAGGCGTTGATCTTCACCGAGGTCTATTGCATAAAAAAAGTTTGAATTTATGTTCTGCATGTGTGTAAAAAATTCGAGCAAAATCTTAACATCTCCAGCTTCCAATGCCAAATTTCGACCTTTATCAAATGGATTTTTGGGATCATTCTTCAGACCAACAACATTTTTATATTCAGCAAATTGTCTAGCCATTGCAGCATACATCCTTCTGGTTTGTTCACTGACAGCTTGAGCTGGCAAAAGTTCATGGTTATGTTCCTTCACAAAGCTATGTACAACCCATTTTCCATCCGGTCTTCTCTTCACGTGCATGCTTGCTTTACAATCTGTCTTTGAACATGATCGCCTACCAGTTGTACTATCTGGGTCTTGCTTGCTTTGTCTGGCACGTGGCCGATTAAAGGATTTGTCATACTCCCGCTTGGTTCCATATCTAGAACAGGCAAATTTTGCATCAATAAATTCTCTTGATGTTTTCGAACGGCGGCTATTTTGTATAGCAGTGTTGAATCCCATAGACCGAGCATATTCTTGATAAAAAGAATATGCTTCCCCATGTGATTCAAATTCCATACCAGAAAGTGGCTCAAGATTGGTATCCTCCTTGAAGGTCACCATATCCACAGCAGAAGAATTCATTTCCACACCATCTTCAGGGCGTACATCCTCTCCTACATGAGCAATATTTCCAGCCTCAACCACTCCATTATGCAATTTTTCATCACCATCCAATATATTATCAATTCCATTTGCTTCTTCATCTTCCTTACACTGCTCACCAGAAGGTAACCTAAGATCTATGTCCATGACTGAAAAGATATTTACTTGAACCAACTGTTACCTTGACTAAACCTGAAAAAAAGGTGAAAAATGAGACATCATGTCCATATAAAAAACAATCAGGACAAAGTTCAATCCAGGATCGATAACATTGATTATAACAAGAAACAAGTGAAGCCAAGTCATTCAAGTCCTCTACAACTGTTGACTAACGCTGAATATACATATATCTAAAGGAAACAAATCCCAGAGCTACGACATTTTCAGCAGTGACACATCATATAATGGACATTCCAAGGTTCCTAGCTCTAAGTAGCTACGTGAAGACCCTTTCTTCAATACCAACATTCTCGAATAACAGAAAGATTAGGATTTTACGAAATTTAAAACTCTTAAATTAGCTAATAAGCTTCAGCAGGCAAATGATTATAATATATCTTCAAAATTATTCTTTTATGAGCAAAATAATATCCATGGGACCAAATAATTTAAGGTTTCAATTCCATTTGATTCACATTTGCAAAAAAACAAAAAAAATCAACAAAATAAGAAACCTTGGGAGGTTTCAATCAGAATATAATATTAAGAAAAAGAAATAATATTGAGTGGATCGAATTCTAAAGAAAAAGAACAAAGGAAATTGACAATATCCCAAAAGGCAAAATTGGAAAGGAGAGAGTTGAGAAAGGGAGAGAGAAAGAGAGAGAAGAGGAACCTGAAGTGGAGGTGAAATAGCATGAGTGATGATTCTGCGAAAACCGAAGGCGAGTGGGGTTAAGGCGCGTAGAGAATTGGGGGGGATTTAGATTTTTAGGGTTTCCTTCATGCGGGGTTTGGGTTTCCACTCGCTTTCGCTCTCACTCGCCAATTTGGGGATCTCATCCCAGCTCTCACCGTCACTCGCCCTTTTATGAGCTGTGTGATTTTAGATTTATCCACTCTTCCTAATAAGGCCTACTTCGGCCATCTTTTCTGTATCTGCTTTTGGGGCCTGATTTCTTGGTCCAACTGCTTATGGGGCTTGAGGAAACGCAGATTTCTGCCCAAATGGCCGAATGAGTCCTCAATTTTTCACCTCTTTTCTGATAACGGTACCACAATTTTATCCTCTTTCAATTGAGCCCTTGTAAACAATTTTTTAATTTGGATTAATTCCACCCTTTCCCACACATTATGCATTAACCAATTATGGCTTGATTCATAAAATCGAAAATTGGCTTCACACTTTTTATTTTTTACTCTTCTTTTTTAGTAGTAAAACAATGAATGAAAAGAAAAAGGGAAAAACTAAAAAATGAATAAAAACTCAGAGACAAAAAATATTAACTACACAGAACCATAACAAATGAAAATTTTGGCTAACCTAGAGCTTATTGTGATTGTTATTTGGGATAAACTCAAAACAACCCTCTAGCTCTATTGAATTATATAGAATATATATACATATATATTTATGAACATTGAATTTTGAAGTAGTTAATAAATGTTTGTTTAATACATGGTGAAACGAATTTTGAAAACAAATAGATTTTAAAAACTCATTGTGATTTTTTTTTTTGAAGGTGTGGGCTTAAATAAATAATTGCTAGAGAACGTCTTTTTTCTGTTTTTTTTTTGTTCAATTTTGGATAGTCAAAACAATGTAGCTTTTTGTATGATATTTCATTTACTAAAATTATGTCATTTAATGATTGAAATTTGAGTTTTTCGTACTTATATTGACATTAAATTACAGTAAAATTATGTTTAGTGGACAATGATTTTTGGATTGCCGAGTATTAATAATCTTTACAATTGTTATAATAATTGTTATAATAAATTTGTCCCTTGAGATTTGAAATGATACTTAACTTCATGTTTTTTCCTTTAGAATTTTCTTGACATCATTATAAAATTACTTATCTTCTATACATTGTGAAGCTATTATAAAATATCACCTTGTTATATGCAAAATCCCAACTTTTCATTACAGGATAGATTCGTAAAACCGTAAGTGAGCATGTACACTTCTTGTTCTAAGCTCGTATCTTGAGATTTTACCTTCAAATAATCTTGTATTTTAAGTTACAAGTTGACTTTATAACTGGTAGGGAGAGACAAGTCAAATTGGATGTGTTTTCAAGTGGATTTTTACATTTTGGGACAAAAGCATCGATCCTTGAAAAAAGAAGTATCGATGCTTGCTACTTAGAAAGCTTTTAAAAAGGATTTTAAAAATGGGTATTGATATCTATATCAATATCTAAAGAACAAATATCAATGCTTTTGTTCTTTTATCAATACTTGAAACCCAAAACAAAAGTATCAATACTTTTACCCTAGGTATCGATACTTGTCGTCATTTTCATAAATAAAAAAAGGATAAAACACTATTTTCACCTAAACAAATTCTATTAGGGCTCTTTTCAAAACCCCCTTAGACTTATTTCATCTCCTGTTGTTACTTTTAGTAACTCTTAATCTTTCTTTTCTCTTTCTCTCTCTAGAAACTTTAACCTTGAAGATTTTGTTAGACATGTTAGCTCAATAATAATGAGAAAATATCCAAAAAAGGGGTGAATTGGATTTCAAAAAAATCTTTTCAACTGTTTAACTTTAATCTTGAAGACAATTTCTCAAATTTGTTTTAACTTTAAAACGAACCAAAAGAAATGAATAACCAAGTTGAAAACAAAAATTTCAAAACTCTTCAAAGTAAAGTATTCAAACATATCAAAGTGGATTAAAAGGGTGGGTTTAAGAATAAACAAGTTTAAAAAACAATCTCAAAACTTTTAAAAGCAAAGTAAAATGCACAAGTGTGAAAAATGAAGAGTAGAGAGCTGTAAACGAATTTAAAAAACTCCTTCAAAACAAAATATACAAGTTCAAGTGTAAGAAGAAGAAAGAAAAGACACAAAAGATTTATAAAGGTTCGGCCCTCTCCATAGGCACCAACATCCTCTCTCTTGGCTCACCAAGGAGTTTGCAATCCACCATGAAAAATTCTTTTTCAAGGCTTAAGTATTATCTTTACAACAATGCCTTTTCACAAAAGCAAGCATAATCCATACAATACCTTTTCATGGGAGCAAGCACAACCATGCCTTTTCAAGGATCAAGCATAACCTCAGCCTTTTCAAGGATTAAACAGAATCTATATGCCTTTTCAATGATTAGGCATAATCTCAGCATTTTCAAGGATTAGGCATAATCTCAGCATTTTCAAGGATTAGGCAAAACCTTTACAACAGTAACTTTTAAAAGGTCAAGCGTAACATTTTCTCTCTTACAATAATAAAGCACATATATCTTCAAATGGTTGATTTTACTGAGTAAGTACATGAAGGAAGAGTTTGAAGGAGCTAAAAGATGATTACAAAGATATGAGTGAAAGCATAAAGAATTTGAAGCTTAACAATAGCTCATAAGCATTTTGGAAGAATATGGATGGCTTGCTCTAGCTTCGTTTTTTCCTTTTATCCTCTTTTTCTCCATCTTGCATGATTCTTGTCTTTCTTTCTACTCTCCTTTACCTATTGATAACTCTATGATATAGTGTTATTTTGGCTTAATTTTGATAATAAATTAGTGTAGTTCTTATAGTAATGTATAGAAATTACTAGATTTTATTTAATTATTTTAAATTAGCTATTCTAGGTGAGTCAATATAATCTTAGTTAATTTTATACTTAATTTGGTGTTAATGTGGTTAAGATAGATTGTTATTGATTTATTTGTGCTTTTGTAGGTGTTTGATGAAAGAAGAATTTGTTAATCTAATCTTAGTTAATTTTATGCTTAATTTGGTGTTAATGTGGTTAAGCTAGGTTGTTATTGATTTATTTGTGCTTTTATAGGTGTTTGATGAAAGAAGAATTTGTCAATCTAAGCTTAGTTAATTTTATGCTTAATTTGGTGTTAATGTGGTTAAGATAGGTTGTTATTGATTTATTTGTGCTTTTGTAGGTGTTTGATGAAAGAAGAATTTTAGTAAAAGAAAGAGAGCAATTTTAAGGTGCATACTTACACTGCATATGTTTCGGTATTTTAGCCATAACTCTCTCTACAAAGCTTTCAATGAAACGATTCTTGGACCATTGGAAAGAAAAGAGAAAAAACTACAATTTTATGTTTACCACATTACCCATTTTGGAATGGAAGGTCATCATAAATCTTGTCAAATTTGATACACTATAGCAATCCTAGAGCAATTACGATTTTTGTTAATTAATTGGGCAAGGCTTCAGCCCACATAATCGAATGAGGAAATCTTAGTTGAAATTGACTTCTTTCTTCACCCAACTTGACCTAACTTCAAAGCTTATAAAAGCAACCTTTCGGAAGACATTTAAAGGAAGAGAGAACGAAATACTTGATTAACAACTGAGAGTCAAGCCACAAAGTCATTGAAGCTAAGAAGAATTTGTAGGCTTCAAGGAGATTTGGAGATTAAGAATACAACTTTTGAGTTTTTCTATCTTTTATTTTATTTTCTTATTTTCTTGGTTTTGTTTTAATGTTTAAATTTTATTCAATGATGATGTGTAACTTGAT